GGAGGAGCTGGTGCAGTAGCCACTGGTACAGGCCATGAGCCATGGATGTCTGGGTGACCCAGCGAGGCCTCGGGGCAGCAGCAGTCAGGGAAGGCAAACATCAGCAACCCTGTCTGCAGCAACTCAGCCGGAGAGAGCGAGGCACTGACTTATTCATGGGATGAACCCTGCACAACCGCCATGGCCACACCGCCTCGCTGGCGTGCTGCAACACGGGCGTTTCTGAGAGCTGCATCAGCCCGGTGGCCCAGACCAGGCACCTCCAGGGTCCCTAAAACACGGGCCACAGCCACCAGCTTCGGGGCTTGCTCTGTAGAGAGAAACTCGATGAAAGACCTAACTGGGAGGAGACACAACAGCAGCCCACAACATCCCGCGTGACAAAGGGGCCACGATGGAAGACTGGGGGCATCACAGGGGGCGGCAGCACGCACTGAGGGCGGCGGGTCCCTTGTGGACCCAGGATGCTCCCTGTGAAGGTGATGTGGGGACGAGACGAGACCGTGGTCCGGGGGACCAGATGAGCAGCTGGAAGAGACCCGTGGAGAGACACCAATGCGACGTGCCCGGAGGTCTGCGCCAGGCTGCTGGGGAGCTCCCGGGGATGATGGCCGAGGCTGGCCTCGCCCCCCGGTGCCGGCACAGGGCCACCGTCCCTGCGTGGCCCCAGAGCTGCTGCCCCGTCGGCGAGGGGACAGGGGTGCCTGTCCTGGGGCGGCATGGCGGGCAGCCCGCGCACCCCCACGCGCTCTTGACCAGTTTCCTTGTTGGAAAGAGAACAAACTAATCAGTTAGCACCAATCAACAGGGATGTTTTACAGAGGTACCTGGGCACGGATTTTCCCACTGCTCCGCTTCAAACCCCATAAATCCAGCTTACGAGTCGCACTGTTTAACGACTGTCAGGAAATGCTAATGGAGCAGCAGGCACCACGGCTCTATCGCCGTATCACAAACAAGTTCCATCACAAATCAGCGCGGGACAGCTTTATAAGTGATTCACTATGACAATATATTGGTGAAGAATCATAAAACTGCTGTTTCATTAATGGCTCATCTTCAGGCTTGTTAGACTTTCATTACGTGAGCTATTAGGTCCCTGTATTCAAAACCCGAAATTACAGGTTCTAATCCATTATGAAAAACACAAAATCTCTGCATAGTAAATTACTGAAATGAGACAAGAGATTTTTTTTTTTTAAATGGACTCCCAGTGTTTGCTGCTCCTGAACAACAGAGACTGCTGAGACAACAAAACACAACCCGAATAGATAAATAAATCACCAGTGAAACCATGCAAGGGGGAGAAATGTCATCCAGGCATTCATCTTTACGTTAACGGCGGGATCCCCAGGGCTGCAAGAGTGGGGAAACGCATCGCAAACTTAATTACAGTTGACTTTAAAATGATATTTTTCGACTTCTGCATTCACAGAGTTATTTGCATACAAATAGGATGTCACATAGTTTTAAGCCCAAGGCTCCCGTGTTCAGGTGGGAAGGCTCTCGGTAGCCGACTTGTGGTGCTGCGTGGCCAGGGCTCAGGCAGGAGCCGCTCCTGGGACCT